GGTGCAACTTTAGCTAATGTGGTCAGGGTAGGCCGCTTTGAAGAGCTGACGTTTGACCCAAGACCAAAATTTTGAGAATGAGTAAGCCCTAGAACTCTCTTAGGAAGCGTTCACAGGTGAGGGAATAAATAAATAGCAGATACAGATGCCCTGAAGTGGGTACACCAAACAATTGCCATCGAGTCGATTCCGACTCATAGCAACCCTATAGGACAGAGTAGAACTGCCTATAGGGTTTCCAAAGCTATAATCTTTACGAAAGCAGACTGCCACATGTTTCTCCTGCAGAGCCGCTGGCAGGTTCGAACTGCAGACCTTGGGCTCCTTGTGGTGAGTACACACTTGGCGTAAAAAACAATACATTTTTTCTAAAAGGCCAGTATGGCTAGCATACAGTGAATAAGGGGAAGTATATAACATGTGGCCAGAGAAATCGGCACGGGCCAGATTGTGAAAAGGATGGCAACCATGGTTAGGAGTTTGGGACTGGAAATATAGATTTGAGTATTAACAATGTATAGCTTCACTTCTGCCCTATAGTCCATCTTTCTTGCAATTATCCCCTTTCTCTCCCACATCATCAGTTTCTCCTTTAATATTGGATCATTCCCATTGGCATGTAAACATGCTTTAATATCATCAAAAGTCATTAAATTTATCATGATTAAAATTTTTTGGCAATTCCCCCAATCTTCCTTCAGCTATAGCTCATTTTCTGTCCTTGCTTCATGGTAAAATACCTTGAAAGAGTGGCCTATACTTCCATATCCACGTCTTCACCTCCTATTCTCTCCTTATCCACCTCCAGTTATGTTTTTATCCCTTCCATTTTTTTAAAATGCTCTTATCAAGGTGTGAGGACAACTCTTTATTTTACCAAACAATGATCTCTTCTCTGTTGTCATTTTCTCAACTTCTGCAAAAGTGATGTCTCCTTCAATGCACTTTTTCTTATTTCTCACCTTCTCCTCCTCTTCTTTCCCTTCACTACTTATAATACAGAAATGGAATTTTTATGTTAATTATTGAGTAGGTATAGATTTATTATTCTTCATTTTCAAAGCGGATAAATAGAAAACTTGAAACTCCCCTGTGAGCTAATGCCTGCCAAGAGGAAATAAACCAAAACCAAACACATTGCTGTTGAGTCATCTGACTCATGGTGACCCCATGTGTTACAGGGTAGAAATGCTCCATAGGGTTTTCTAGGCTATAATTTTTTTTTTTTTATTGTACTACAGGTGAGGGCTTACAGAACAAATAGTTTCTCATGAAACAGTAGTACACATATTGTTTTATGACATTGGTTAACAACCCCACAACATATCAACCCTCT